CAGGTGACCAGGCCCCCAGACGGGCATATTTTGCTTTGAAGACATGTGACTTTGACTTTGGCAGCCTTTAGGATATGAGAGATGCCAATAAAGGGGGCAGGGGGTGCAGCCTGGAATGGAGGAGAGAAGGCAGGCCACACCTGTCCCCAGGCCCCCCACCCCCACCACGAGGCTGGTGTGTGCCTCAGGATGAATTGCTCCCCCTCTCTGGGTTACTTGCTGCTTTTCTCTTGAATGGAGGAGTGAATGTCAGGACTCTCAGTTCTATCTCCCCCCTCCCCCATTTTTTTGGGTTAACTTTACATAGAGAAAAAAAGCACAATCTTATGAGGTGTACATGTAGAGTTTTCCTATATACCTGCAAAACCACCACTCAGACAAAGACAGCTGGTTTCCAGCCCTGACTCAGATCAGCAATAATGTCTCATGATGGGCCCTCTGGCTTCTTCTAGCCGCTGTCCTAACAGCCCTGTGCTGGCCCCAGCCCTGGTGGCTGCTGAGCTCTTGAAGTGTGTGCTGCTGTGTGTGCCTGAGAATCGCAGTGTTCTCAAAGACCTAGAGTGAAGAAATGAGCAGCCATCTCCCGAATCGCTTTGTGTATTGATGACATGTTAAGATGTCAGTTTGGGGGATATATAGAATTAGACTAAATACTGTTAAAATGAATGTCACCTGTTTCTTTTTTCCTTTTTTTCCACATGGCTGCTAGAAAATTTCAAGTTCTACATGGTTAGTGTTGCTGTGGGCCTGGCAGCCCACTGTGCCCCAGACTCACAGCCTTGGGTGTCACCTGCCTCTGTACCCATTAGGTTGGGTGGTGCGTGGGGGTGTGATCTGGAGGCTTTGCACAGATGTGCTCTTGGTGTCTTTTAGCACAAGTCTGTGCAGGCACCTTCCGGTCTTGTGTATGGCTTCCAGTTCAGGGTCTGGCTGCCCACGTGAAAGGTTTTTTGCTGTTTCTGCCTGTTTTAAAAAAGACAGTTACAGGCCTCCCTGATGGTGCAAGGGGTTAAGACACAGCACCATGAAACTATCTGCAGCTACTGCGGCAGGAGTTCAATCCCTGGCCAGGGAGCTGACCCACATGGTGCAGTGGACATCTCCTGCTTTGCCTGCTGCTCCCTTCAGCAGTGTATTTCAGTACATCTGCCTGTTCTGCTTCCCACTCTGTCTCTGGCGAGTCTTCTCACCCCCCTGCATCTCTGGCCTGCACCCCAACTCTTGTTTGCATAAATAAATAAATCTTCACCAAAAAAAAGACAGTTACATGTCTTCCCCAGAGCACTCTGCCTGGCCATGGAAAGGAATGGAGGTGGACCAGGTGGGGGTTTTAGATTGACACAGACCTTTGGGGGGCTTTTTGTCAAGTTCATACTCTGAACAGAAAGCCTCAGCTCTCCTTTCCAGCCTCTGGGGTGCTTTCCAGCCTCTGGGGTGCTCAAGCATCCTTGAGTGGCAGGGAATTTTGACAGGACCACAGGGCATCACCTCCTTGCTGTCCCTTCATCCTTGGGAGGGCGGGTGCGGTTCCCTGCCTGGTGCCTGGTCCTGGTTTCCTGGCTGCATCAGGAATGTTACTACCATTTGTGATGGGCCCTCCTCATCTGCTGTCTACCTCCCTGTCCTGTCACTGTCCCTGTACCTGACGGGTACACCTCCCTGTACCTGACGGGTCTGTCCATAAGGTGATAGGTGGGAGCTAGTACGAGGGAGAAGTTGAGTGGGGATACAGACACCTTATCTGGAAGGTACTGCAGGCAAAGGAGGGGGTATGATCAGGTGGGCAGAGTCACAAGCTGAGCAGAAGGAAGAGCTGGAGATGGGGGGGCAAGAGGCTTGTCCCCTTGGTGTCATCCATAAATCCCCTTCTCTGGGCCAGCTTGGGGACAGCGCCCAGCTGCAGTGGGAGCCAGATCACATCATGAGTGACAGGGTACGGGAGCCCAAGGTATCAGCCCTGAGCCAGCCCACAGGTGAGGGCAGTTAGGCTCTCTGTATACCATCATCCCACCCACATCTGGAGCAGAGTGTGGCACCTTCCCAAAAACAATTTGGGGGTTGTAATGGACTCCAGAGCATGGGCAGTTCACCACATCGTTGGGCATGCTAAGGTCTTCATCAGTCCTGATATAGGACCCCTAATTTTGCACAATCTAGATCTGGTATTTCCCGAAGCATGAATTGGACATGAAATGTTGGGATTATACAGGACTTGTAACTGAAAGCTGGTTCAAAGCCCTTGATCTGTGGCCTTTCTTTGCTTTGGGACAGTAATTGGAATGCTTAGCTACTTGTCTTTTAGGCGGTGACATCAAAACATGTCTCCAGGCAAAATGATTGTCTAATTCTAGTTCCTGCTGGTTAGAGAGAAAAGGATCCCAGCTGATGGGAAGGGTACCCTTTCATGTTTAATGGCTCTGTTTATCTCTTTAGAGTCACTTTGCTTTTAAACTCTCCCAGAGGTCATATGGCTGCTTTTCTACATACTTTGGTCTTGATAGAATCATTTTTTTGGTAAACCTTTGATTTTAAATGTGTCTCTGGTATGCAGCATAGAGTTCGGTTTTTCTTTTGTTTTTGCAGTGTGACACACAGCTTTTTTTAAAAGGCAATTTTGCTCATTTACATTTATTGCATTAGTGTGTTCAGGACCTGGCTTGCTCCTTATTTTGGCTATCATTTGACTTCTTCTGTAATTGTGGTTTTAAATTGGACTGACTGTACAGTTTCACTGTAAATTTCTTAGATCTTATCTGACTTACTTCTTAATCTAGTTCTTCTAATGGCCAACGGACACAAACAGGAGCACTCTTATTTCTTAGATTGCCATATATAGCTATCACAAAGCAGAGGAACTTTGGACTTCCTTCTGTATGGGGCTCTTGCTTCCTCCTGGGTGGCTTTCTGCCCCACCCCCATACTGCCGGGCTCAAGGTTGAGAAACACATTCATTCTTGGTTCTTCTTTATGGTTTTTACATCTAACTTGTATTCTCTCATTGCACTGGTGACATACATTCTGGGAAGTTACACAGTCTCTCTGAACCCAGCCTGCGGATCTTATCTCTCAAAAAATCCAAAAGCTAATACACTGAATAGACCATGTAGGAGGCTGCACCTGGTACATGTTAGCTACCCTAATAAATATTAACCTCTCCTCCCATAGGAGTGTTCTTGGTGGTTTGGCATGGAACAGGTTTGTCTTTATACTGTAAACCTTGAACTTGAGCCTTCTCTTGCTCTGTCCTTGTGGTAACCTTTCTTTGTATTCTTATTTTTTTTTAATTGAGGTACAGCTTAGGCAACATAAAATTAACCATTTAGTGGCATTTAGTACATTCACAACATTTTGCAACCCTCACCTCTACCTAGTTCCAAATATTGATCAACTTACAAGTGTTTTAAAAATCAGATTTGTTGAGGTATAATTTACATATCCCAAAATTAATTCATTCCAAGTATATAATTCAGAGATTTTTTGTAAATGTACATTGTTGTACAATTATCACCAAATTTTCACTTTAGAACCTTTCTGTCATATTCTGTTCATATCTCCAGCCCCTAGAAACCACTGATCTGCTTTCTATTTCTATGAATTTACCTTCTCTTATAAATTTACCTTTTCTTATAAATGAAATCATACAATATGTAGTCTTTAATGTCTGGCTTCTTGCACGTAGCATGATGGGTCTGAGGTTCATCCGGTTGTAGGTGTGTCCATGCCTCATTCTTTTTTATGGCTGACTAATATTTCACCATGTGGCTAGACCATATGGTGTTTTGTTTAGCCATTCATCTGGGGGTAGACATTTAGGTGGTTTCCACTTTATGGTTATTGTGAAATTACTCCTTTGATCATTGTGTATGAGAGTTTATGGGGATGTATGCTTTCATTTCTCTTAGGTGCATCTTCAGGAGAAAATTGTTGGGTCGTATTGAAGGATTCTAAAAATTAAGTTTGCCAATGTCCAGTGGCAGTATGTGAACACATTGGTGGTCAATAAATGTTGGTAATTGTTGACATTATTTCTCTGTGGACTTTTCTTACATAGGGTATATCTCACCTTCAGACATGTTACTTGTATTTGGTAGATTTCTCTGTGTTCCCATCTATCACCCACCTGAAATTTTTCTTGTTTATTGACATATTAGGATTCACATATTGAAATAACTCTTTAGTTTTCATGGCCCAGTTATCTGATAAGCCAGATAACCTCCTTCATGCCACCAACATTTACTGAGCCTCAGCTGTAGGTTTTATAGTAGAACCTGCACCCCTTATGAGGGGACAGTGATCGTATCCATTTTTCCCTTCACTGTAGCCCCAACACATGGGACAGTGCTTGTTAAATGAATGAAAACAAGTAACTGAGTGTAGCTGCAGAGCCCAGACACAATTATGTGCCTTCATGGTGTCCTTACCATCCAGGGCGAGAGCTAGCTCATACCATCTTATGACGCCAGCCATGCATCTCATACCAAATCCACCCACGGTGACGTCATGTTGTAGCTTGAAATGACCACACTGGGACTATTTACATTATAGAAACGGGCAAAAGCTACAAACCTGGATTTCTTCCCTTTTCCTCTTTTTTTTTTTTTTTTTTTGAGAGTCTAGGATTAAACATTTGCCAGTCTGCCTTTCCAGCCTCTTCTGTTATTCTCCTGACATGATGGTTTTCACAGATGAAAAGGCACACAGAGGTGAAGGCACTGACCCAGGGTCACACGCCCATGAAATACAGAGCCAGAATTCAAACCCATATGTGACCTTGGCCCAGGTCCATGGTCCCAGGACTGCACAGTGGTCCCCTCCCCCATTTTCCCATCTCTTCTTACATCTTGTTTTTTTTTCCCTGCCAGCCCACGTTGTCACCCAATTTCCATTTTGATTATTTCTTAGCATCTTAGGTGCCAAGATTTCCTGGCATGTTGCCTGGGCAATGCTTAGCTGCTGTCCCTCCTCACCAGGAACTCTGTGTTTTGTTTTTGTTCTTGCAGAATTTCGCTAAAGAGTTTGTGATCAGTGATCGGAAGGAGCTGGAGGAAGATTTCATCAAGAATGAGCTCAAGAAGGCGGGGGGAGCCAATTACGACGCCCAGGCCGAGTAACCCCATCCCTCCCCCGCCCCTTGCCAAAGTCATCTGCCTGCTCCCTGGGAGAGGGGACCCCTCCCTCGGCTACCAGCCCACCTCTTAGGTGGGACCTTAGGTGGGACCTCTTAGGTGGGTCTGCCACCCACCAGGGAGAGGAGACCCAATGAGAGGCAACGCCTGCCACCCTGCCACCCAATTCCCTTCCCCGCTTCCCTCCTGGGCCCTGTTGTGTCCTATCTCACGAAGCTCATTGAACATCTTTCTTTTATCTTCTTGTTTTTTTATCCTCTCTCTTTTTCGTTCTAAAGAAAAATCATTTTGATGCCAAGGTCATGCATATCATCAGATCTAAGGTGCCTCCTGCAGTCACCCCCTTTTCTGGCAAGTCGCTCATGCGCCTGCCCGGCCTCCACCATGGCCTCATGCTGCTGCTGGGCCAGTGCCGCCTTCTTGGTCTCTCTGGCCTACTGGCCACTGAGGTGCCAGGGGCTGTGCCAGATGGCCGTCTTCAGGGCCCACACATCCATCCCTTCCTCAGGCTCAGAGCTACTAGAGCATGCCCCAGGCCCCTCCCCACACCCCACTCAAAGTTGCCTAAGCTCCATGTCCGACAGAGATGGTGCTTGGTGGTGAGAAGTTTAGGCCTGACTCAGAACAGAGAGAACATTTGCCTTAAAACTTTGCCTGGCAAAGCCACGTGGTCTGAAATGGCCCGTTTTGGCCTTTTGATGGACATCGCTTGAAGGCCAGGAGAGGAGGCAAAGGTCTGAGTCTAGACTGGATGGGAGGATCATTCAGGGTTCACTTCAGGGGCTCCCAAAGTAATGTAGGGAGCATGGCCCGATGGGCAGACGGGACTTTAGAACTGGAACTCACCCTGGACGGTCAGGAAGGGCCATCGCCAACAGCTGTGCCGGCCAGGCCAGGGCCTGCTCCCTGTGGGGTGAGCAGTAGCCCCGCCTTGGGGGGACCAGAAACTCTGTGGTTTTAATTCTCAGTCTGCACCACACATGCAAAGGGATTTTCTTGTTCTCTTTTCAAAGAAAGATGGGATTGGCTTAGTTCGTCATGGGCACATTTTATAGCGTTCTTTTTCTTTGTTTCCTTGCTCATTACACTCGGGAGAAACCTGTGCTGTGCTGGGGGGTGACCATCTGCCCCCCAAAAGATACAGGAATAAATGTTGATTTTGTTTTTCAAAAAACAAGTGTGTCTGGCTTGTCTTGTAGAGGCAGCTGTCTTGGGATTCAGGCTTAATTTAACCAGCCTACATGGAGCTTCATTCATATTCAGTTACTTAATTTGTAGCAATAACCTCAAGGAATAAGTGCTGTTTGGGGCCCCATTTTATGGAAACTGGGCTCAGAGATGCACCCGAGGACACCCAACTGGAAGTGGCAGAGATGGGACTCAAACCCAGGTCTCCTGAGGCCCCTGGATCTGTGGCTGATGAGGGGAGTAAGGAGGGCCTGGATTTGTGATAGTGAAGCAACAGCAAATTAGAATATCTCTAGAGCAGCCAGTACCCTTTTCTTTTCAGGAAAAATTGAGCTGAAGCACCCTCCTCAGCTGGGCCATGACATCCTTTCGGAGCTTTTCCTGAGCTGAAATTCTGGATTCCGGCATGCCAGGTCTAGTGGGAACTCACGATGAGGCTGGAGGCGTTTCAGAGATGCAGACAACTGGGTTTGGAAGAGCCGGCATGAAGTGGGAGAGAGCTGAAGCTAGGAGCAAGGCTGGAAGGATTTTTGCATGGTGCAGCCAGGACATGCGATGCTGCCCACAAGGACACAGGCCTACCCCAGCCACATCTGGGTTCTAACCCCTGCTCCTCTGCTCATGGCTGTGTGACTTTAAGCAAGTTAGTTAACCTCTCTGGACTTCAGCTTCTCATCAGCAAAACAGGCAACACTATTACCTACTGTGATAGGTCGGGAAGCTGGAGGAGCAGTGAGGATTATGAAGATGTCCTCATTACATTGGGCTGGCACGAGGTTTGGTTAGCTCAGCATGCCCCAGCTTTTCCAGTACTTAGAACAGAGGGAGCCAAACTAGGTCTCTGACTTCCTGGCCTCTGGAAGGAATTCTCTCAGTCAAGAAAAGCCAGGTGCTGGACCTGGTCAGGGCATCTAGGAAGGCGTCTCTGTGGAGGTGACACCTAAGCTGAGAACTGCAGGAGAGAAAGGGTGAAGTAGGGGAAGGGGGACAAACATTGCTGAGGGTGCTTGCTGAGGAGGAGAGCAATGAGGGTGGAGTTGGGTTGTGTGTCTAAGAGCCTGGTTTTAATCAAAAGCTGTGGCTTAGGCCTTGCTGGGGTATCAGAGGGTGTCTGATGGGTGGTGAGTTCCTCAAGGGCACAGGCCTTGCCTTTATCATCTCTGTCTTCCCATAACTAACACCTAAGAGGTGACTAGTGTGGGGGGGTGGCGGCTAGGGAGATATTTTCCCATCCCATCTGGGTTCCTCTGAGGATGACAGATGAACAAACTAACATCAGACAGACTTGTAGGGAAAAAAAGCCAAAATAACATACATAAGCAGGATTTTCATGACTGTGAATTCTAAAGACTAATGGGACAGTCAGGGATAGTTACCCCGCATTTAGGGACCTGGGGTATCATGGAGGGGGTAAATTTCATATGACAGACAAAGAAGTGCTGATCTCCACTCTGGAAGTAAAAAGATGAACTTCTCAAGAGGACATGTTCACTCATATACCTAAACCTGGGTGAAACTCCCCTAAACTACATTTTTCTAGGTCATAAAGGGGGGAGCAGTGACTATTTCTCCTCTTGGGAAAAAACTTAAGAAGTGACAGTCTCTTTCAATTAGGGAAGGATGAAGGAGATAGTAAGGAGAGATTTCTCCTAGCCTTCAGGATCTCGCTGGAGTCAAAATATTGATAAAACAATCCATGTTGTCATGGTAACGGACCACCCCTCCCCATCCCTCCCCCTCAGGCTCACAGGGCCTCAGTTGACTTCTAGGTCCCATATCAAGGTGACCAGAGGCCTACTCTAGGCACATTAAGGAAATTCTATCCGATGCTTTGGGGAAGACCAACCCCACTGGTTATACCTGCCTCCCCCTGCTCCTGTGTCTGCCCAAGGCCTTAGCACCCCAGTCTGGCCTCCAGCAGGGCCTGGCAGGGGTTGTGGATGAACTGCTGGGACTCAAATCTCTTGCTTAGATACTCTTTGAATTCCTTATTCGTTGATCACCTACAGTTGTTTCTGGTTACCCCAAATCTAGTTGTATAAAGTCACCCCTATTTTATTTTGCCCTCGGTGGGGTGGGGATTCAGGATGGGCTCAGCTGGGTGGTTGTCTAGTAGGGGTCTCTCGTGGTTGCCGCCAGCTGGCCCTCTCATGTGGCAGCGGCTGATGCTGGTGGTCTGGGGTGGGGGCTCAGCAGGGCTGTGGCCCCTCAGCTGGATGGTCTCAAGGTTGTCTGACTTCACACAGGGTGCCACGTCCCCAGAGTGAGCCTGCCCACAGACCCAAGAGGAAGCTGTCTGGCCTTTTCTGACCGAGCTTCAGGGGTCACATGGCAGGCAGCATCTGCCTTGAGCTGAGCTCCAGTGGGGGGAAAATGGGGAGAGGGCCAGCTCTCCTATGGCCTTCTTTTAAGGGAAACATGTGCTATGCCCAGAGGCAGTGCTGGTCCTGGGTGCCTCGCCCTCAGGGGACTTGGGAGCAGAGGCAAGCTCTGAAGTAAACCAAGCCAATAATTGCAGCCTATTTCTGTGTGATCCCAGGGGAGGATTGCTGTTCCTAGCTGATTGCACCCCTGGGAAGGCTTCAGTTTCTCAGCTTTGCACTCCAGGGGGCTCTCTGAGGCTGGAAAGGGGATCTCAGCTCTGGAGAAGCTTTGCTATTCCCTGCCCCCCATGGGTGCTCCTTGTTCATCACAGCCCCTGCTGCTTCCTGTTCCCATTTCTTATAAACCACACACAAGCCCCACAACTCAGAAGGTCACTAGCAGACATGACTCACTTGGGGCGGGAGGTAGCGAGGATCAGGCCTGAGGTCAGTGGTCATCACCGGATGTAGGGGCTGCGTCCCTCCCTGCAGAGCTACAGTATCCTCGCCCTAAACCAGACCCAGGTTGGTGGTCCTCACCGCCGTATCCATCCGACTGCTGTCACCAAACACCAACGCTTGGGTGACTTATAAATAGTAGACATTTATTTCTCACACCAGGAGGTGAGAAGTGGGGATAGGGGCCATCTGGTCACCCAGGGATCGCTTCTGGTCACCTACATGTCATCAAACTGGAAGGAATGAGGGAGCTCATCCCTCCCTAAAAGAGGGGTCTCAAGAGGACACTCACCCCTCTACAGCACCCAGTCCTCAGACCCTGATCACTTCCCAAAGGCCCCACCTCCTAACACCATCACTTTAGGTGCTGGGACTCCACATACAGATTTTGGAAACAAACATTCAGACCCCAGCATCGCCCTGACATCTGTTTTGAGGGCTGAGTTGGGGAAGTGTTGGGTTTTAAACAGCCTCCAGCCTGACACCAGTGGAATCATCTAGATCTTTCCAGCCTGCTTCCCAGCACCACCACCCATGGGCCCATCACGATGACTCTGGGTTTGGCAGGTGTTGCATTGACAACCCAAGTGCCTCTAGGAAGTGTTTTCCCAGAACAGGCTGACTCCTGGATCTCAGACCCCCCGATGAAGACGGGGCCCTTACACTGAAAGCCAGCGCTGGGCAAGGTGGAGGGGTTCATCCAGCTCCCCCACTTACAGGCTGGATGAGCTCAGGTAAGAGGTCTGACCTCTCTGAGGAACAGCCAGAGCAAGACATGCAGCTATGCCCAGTGTGGGGTGGGGACACAGCACCAAGCCTTGGTGAACAGAAAGAGTCCCTGACCCCTCCCCGAACAAGTGGCTGAGCCAGAATGTGACCCTAGGCAGTCCTGGACTTAAGCATATTTTCACGAGTTCATGCTGTAGGGTCTGACCAGAAATGAATGAATGAGCCCACAGGAATGAATGAATGAGCCCACAGGAATGAATGAATGAGTGAGCTCCAACGTTCTGCCCAAGATGAGGTGACGGTTAGCTTCTCCTGGGTCCCCAGCTGCCCTTGGCCAGGGCAAGGCCCCTCAGCAAGTGGTCCCTCCTGGCTGTAAGAGAGTGACCAGATATTGCCGTGGGAACAAAGAGGAATCTCTCCAGGCAGCCAAACGCATCATGGCCGAGGGCCCACAACAGCACGAATACATTTTCCTCTCAATCGAGACAAGAGCAAATTAATGTCTTGTGGGGCCACCGATGACCCCTGGGGCCTGTTGGACCTGTAGGACCTCTCTGGAAGACACCCGGGATGTGCCTTGTAGTGGTGCAGTAGCCCAAAGGTCGGTTTTCCTTGTCTTGGTCAGAACACACAAACTGTCATCCCAGACCCAGAGAAGTCAAGAATCTGGACAAAGCACAGGCGCCCCCAGATGTCCACAGGAATGCCAGGCAGGCGCAAAGTGACACTTGGCTGTAACCCGGGTGCCCCCTCCACTCTGATGTGGGGACAGCTGTGCGGGTACTAGGTCCCCACCCATCTCCCTGCTCCTCTGTGTGGATGTGCCTCTAAAGCCCAGGGGCAGTTCGCATCTCAGGGGACAGAGTAAAAGAAAGGCTGAAGGTATTTGGGCTACAGGACCCCACAAAGACTCATACAGGGGATACCTGCCACAGGGGATACCTGCCAAGTCCTCTCGTGACTTGGAGAATCTCAGCAAGCTGGTCACCCCACACACCCCTTTAAGTTGTTGGCTTTGCCCCCCTTTATCCCACCCCTGCCTGGATCCTCTACGGGCCTGACAGCTGGGGGCCTGTGACCCTTGTTTTTGTTTGACTATAAATTCTTAAGGCATGACACTAAGAGAAAAGCAATTTTCAAGCTTTTTTCTTTTCAAGATGATGCTTTCACTGCATGCTTTTCTACCCCAGAAAAGTTCATCTTAAATTTAGAAGAGACTTTAGCTCCCCAAATGGCAGCTCCTTCCTTATCAGCCCTTTGCTACTCTCCCACCCCCACCTCAGCACATTATTGCCAAAGATCAAGTTTAAATTTCTTGGGGGCCTCCCTGGTGGCGCAAAGTGTTAAAATGCAACCTCAGAAGCTATCCACAGCCACTGCGGCAAGAGTTCGATCCCCGGCCAGGGAGCAACCCACATGGCACAGCAGACCTCTCCTGACTCACCCACTGCTCCCCTCAGCAGTGAACTTCAGTCAATCTGCCTGTTCTGTTCCCCACTCTGTCTCTGGTGAATCCTCTCACCCCCATACCTCTGACCTGTACCCCAGTTCTTGTATAGATAAATAAATAAATCTTTAAAAAAATAAATTTCCTGGGCTGGGGGGACCTGTGTGTATCTCCAACCAGACATAACCCCCTGCTCAGTGTCCTCCCTTTTCCTCTCAGGACAGACTAGGCTCTGTGCCCACCTGCTCTGCTAAGGGGGTTTTCCCACGCTCTGTAGCAGACTGAAAAGTGGTCCCCGAAACATCATGCTCTGGAACCTATTTGGGAAACTGTCTTTGTAGAAGTGACCAAGTTAACGGTCTCCACATGAGACCCTCCTGGACTTAGGGTGGGCTGGGAGGGGGTGCTGGGCCTCTTACTAAATACGGGCAGAGGGGGCAGCGCCCAGGTCTGGGTAGAGGCAGGCTGGAGGGAGGGGACCACAAGCCTGGAGCCCCCAGCAGCTAGATGTGGCAGGAAGGACCCTCCCTGGAGCCTCCCACTGACATCTGGAGGGAACACAGCCCTGCTAACAGCTTGATCTCAGACTTCAGGCCTCCAGAACCGTGAGAATATGTTCCTGTTGTTGGAAGGAACCCAGTTTATGGTCCTTTGTTACAGAAGCCCCAGGAAACTTGCTTCCCCACTGGCTACCCCGTCCCCCACTAACTGGGGCCCTACCGGGAGGATTTGGTATCCTGCTGCCTTGAGCATAGGAGGTGATCAGTAAGCAATTGTGAGTCCCCTCTGCCCGAACCAGGAGCAGGGAGCAGGGGCAGCTCTCCAAGTTATGCACAGAACCCAGGGTCAAACCTGGTCTGCTCTGAACTAAGCAGAGGCCAGACTGGGGGGGGATGGGAGGGACTTCCTGGGTTCCCGCACCTGGGAGCTGGCTCCCACCTCTGGTTCTGCCTCAGTCCCATCCCTGAAGGGCAGGTGTGTATCTTGAATATATGAGCCCCACCCCCACCCCCATCTGGCCACTTGTGCACCCATCTAATTCCTTCACCTCCAGGGCCTTAACTCCATTGCTGTGACTACTCCCTTTTGTCCCTGGAGGAGTCTCCAGACACCGCAGGGGCTAAGGTGTGCTCTTGGCTGGGGCAGCTGTGAGGCCTTGGCTCCCTGGGTGGGCAAGCAGGCCAGGTGTCCTCCTGAGGCCAAGGTTACACTCTGGACTTTGGTCCAGACTCTGGACAGGACTCAGCCTTTGGAGATCTGTGGGTCCCCTTGGGGTTGGCCTGAGAACCTGGGGAGGGGGCTATTCTGTCTGCCGGCGCCCTGGACCTGGAGGGAGCCCATTTCCATCCTTGGTTTGGGGGAGCTGCCTCTGTAGATGAGAGGTAAGGAGTAAAGAGGCCCCTTTAAAGGGATGGAATATAATCTGGCCGGGTCAGTTCTGGGGAATATGGGGCTGTGGCATGCTCCCAGCTTGGCTCTCTCCAGCAGTTCCAGGGTGTGTGCAGGTGCTGCTGAGGGGCTGCTGGGGGGCTGCCCCAAACCCCAGTGCATAAAGGAGGAGGTGAAAGGCAGCTGGCAGAATGATAAAGGAGACAGAACACTAACCCGGAGCTGAGGTTTCAAATGAAATAATGACTTGTTGGTTCTGATTATAGGCTCAGGAGTAAAAATATACTGGATGTCCTAAGAATGAGTGGGGGGCCTGGGGAGGGAGGCCAAGTGTCAGGTGAGACTCCAGGTGTGTCTACCAGGCTTCATTTGTTTTGAAAAGAGTTGAAGGAAATATGTACAATAAAATGTAAGCATCTGTGTCACAGGCTTGTTTTCTCGTGTTTGGAATAGAGCTGTTTAGAATTTTTTAAAAACAGACAAAAGAATTCACATTGCCATGCCACACTGCTCTCTGGAACAGGTGGTTTCCTCTGAAGAACTGAGGGAAGAAGCAGGTGAAGCTAAGGGAAAAAGTGCTCAGTTCTCACAGAGGTCCTCCCCAAACAGAAAAGACAGTTGCTGCTGAATAGGTGAGTTATGAGTTTAAAGATCAAACACCAATGACATGAGGCTGGTTGCTGCCAAGAACTAAGTTGGTCTAAAAGATCAAGAAGGGGTTGCTGCAGCTGTCCTTGGTGGCCTAGGGGTTAAGTCAGCGTTATCACTGATATTGCCTGAGTTTGATCCCCGGCCAGGGAGGTGACCCACATATGGCACAGCAACCTCTCCTGTCTTGCCCGCTGCTCCCCTTAACTGTATTTCAGTCGATCTGCCTGTTCTGCTCCCCCCTCTGTCTATGGTGAATCCTCTCACCATCACCACCACCCACCTTTAACCTACATTCCAGTTCTATGCAAAAATAAAAAAAAAATAGGGCCTCCCTGGTGGCGCAGGGGTTGAGCGCTGGGTTGCCAAGCTGCCCGCAGCCTCTGCGGCACCGGTTCGATCCCCGGCTGCTCCCCGGCCACCGGAGGAGGGTCCCACATGGCGCGCAGACCTCTCCTGCCGCCCGCTGCTCCCCTCAGCAGTGTACTTCGGTCCTTCTGCCTGCTCTGCTCCCCGCTCTGGCTCTGGTGAATTCTCTCACCCTCCCGCGCTTCTGACTGTACCCAGTGCTTGTATAAATAAATAAGTAAATAAATCTTTAAAAAAAATAAAAAATAAATAAAAAAAATAAAAATAATTTTTTTAAAAAGAGGGGAATGTTCCCGAATGCCTATTTATATCCACCCTCCCCCACCCCCACCACAAGGCTACCTCCCTCCAGACCCCAGGGGCATTCACCTCCCCTATCCTTTCACTTCATCTCACCACCCCATCTGATCAGACTTCATCAAACTTCTCTGTTCCATCACTTGGGTGCTTGATAGACATTTAGAGTTGGAATTGGCAAGCTGGTGACCCACAAGCCAGATTTGGCCCCCCTGATGTGATCGGACTGCCTGTATGGCCGCACAGTTTACCACAGCACAACTGCAGGGGGCACTGCTGGCTGAATATACATGAGACTGGGCACCTGGGCACCGCAGAGTTGTGCAGTGCATGACCTGTACAACAGCACCCAGAAATTTTTGAACGGATTGCCAATATTCAAAGATCAAAAGATTTCATATAAAAACCCAGTTCTTAACATTTCCTGACAAATCCAAAACTCCAGTCACACTAGGATTACATTCTTGCAGCTCACTCAGAGGCTGGGGTTGAGTTATGACTGCCTGTACGTGTGTGTGTGTGTGTGTGTGTGTGTTCTATAGCCCCCAACTCTCCAATTAACCCCACAACCTTTTACATCAGCTCCTTTATACCTGGTTCCTATAAGCATTTGAGTTTGCCACCGCTGGATGACATTTTTCAATATTTGTTGGATGAATGTAGGAATTACTTTTCATTGCCACAATAGCGTAGAGACAGAAGATGCTTCCTTTATTCCTTTGAAATAGACCCAATGGGGAGTTGCTATGACAACTCTGGGACCATAATGTGGGTTGCTGGGGGTGGGGGTGGCTGAGTGTCTTCGAGAAGCTGGGACCCCAGGGAGTCACCTCCAGTGTGACAATAGGGATCAGTAGGCATGCTCTTAGTATGGAATGTTAACTTTGCAAGGGAGCACAGGGCCCATTTAGTGCTGTACATTTGGGTTCCTCCCCCACAAAACATTCCTTTTATCACCTCCCTATGCATTCCATATTTTGGACCGGTTCTGTGCCAAACAACTGCATTTAGGAACTGGGAATTTTTCTCATTTAAAAAGAAAATCAAAGATGAACAATGGTAGCTGATAGGTTTTAGTTCTGACTCTTCCATTCACTTGCTGTGTGACATTGGGCAAGTTGCAAAACCTCTCTGAGTCTGTTTCATCTCTTTCGAATAATGAAACCAGTAACATTGCCCACCTTATAAGGTTGCTCAAAATATCTGCTGCATGAAACAGAGCACAGTGAGTTGAGGAAGGAGGGAGGGAGGCTGGGTGTCCAGGAGACGGAAGGGACTGTGGCCGGGGCAGAGGAGCCTGCTAGAGGACAGCTGTCCTGCCACAAAGGCTCCCGTGCGCCCAGATCTTCTGATTTCCACAAATTTGGGTATTTATGTATAAGTGGTTGGTATCTCATTTAGAGAGGATGTTCTGATTTTGGACTTCATAGAAAGTGGGGCTGTGGGAGCAGGAGTCTTTTTGCCACAGGCTGGCTCCCTTACCAGAGAACAAGATGTGCGTGGGGACAGCCGGTCGCCAGGTTGCTGGAAGTTTGAACAAACCCGGAGAGATACCCTGGTTCCATCTCTAGGCCCAGATGCCTCCTGCTAGGCCCTTTTAAGATTCTAGAACATTCTCTTCAGTTGTCTGTGTGCTTGGTGCTGTTTCCATAGCACTGGCAGGCATCTGAGGAAAAGCTTTCTTGGAGCATCTGTGGCCCCCCATTTGGGCCTAGCATCCCCACCCTGTGACATGGAGAAGCCCTAGGCAGGGATTGTTCTGGTAGATTTATGGGTCTCCTGAACAGATGCTGTGGGAGGGTCCTGACCTTCCAGCCTGGTGAATGGTGCCGAGATGGCCTTGGGGCAGGGGCTGTTTCTGGGCTGAGATGAAACCCCATTGCTAAGGCCTGGCCTTTGGGAGCAGCTCAGGTCACAGCTGTGAAGGAGGGACGGTGGTGCCAGGGGGAGCGAGGGGGACCTCTGGGGAGGGGGGAGGTGCAGGCTTTGGGGACTACTGGCTCTAACGAGCCCTCAGAGACCTTAAAACCTGGCTCCTGCTTGGAAGTTTTTCTAAAGATTCCTCCTGATGATGATAAGTCATTATGGCCCAAAGGGCTGCCTTACATGATTTAGGGTCTCAGGTTGCATGTATGTTGGGTAGGGGGAGCTGGGAACTCTGGGAGCCTGAAGCCTCAGTGAGGAGACAAGAACTGGGTGGAGTGGTTTAGAGAATGGAGCAAGAAGCCACTCTCTAAATGTAGGAGGAGCAGCTACCATTTTGATTGAGGACCTACTGTGTGTCAAGCATTTTAATGGAACTCTGCTTACCTTCTTATCCTGGAGGGATGCTATGCAGCCTTTTCCATGGAGATGTCAATCAGGATCGGGATCAGTGTTGATTGCATGCCCTGATGTGCTGGACATGTCATGGGAGTTAACTGCTTAAGTCACATTTCAAGGATTGTCTGCACTTAAAGGATGAGCCGATTGAGGTCCAGGGACGCTAATCATGGAGAATTTACAAGTCAAACACTGGACTCTCTGATCTCAATTCCTTAAAAGTCACAGTGGAAGATGATGTTTAGGCCACAGACAGATGGCTGCCAGCCCTGGGCATGCGGGGAGTGTCTCCATCACTAACCGTGGAGGGAGCTCATACCCACTCAATGTCATTTCCACAGCTGCCTCCTGCTGGATAGATAACTGGGGTCTCTAGAGCTGGGCCATCACCACGATCTCTTACCTCCCTGCCAGGCTCTATCCTGAGACCCAGAAACTGTTCTGGGATGTTCCCTGGGCTCCTCTCAGAATTCTGCCTCTGCACCAGTCACTGGAAATGTGCAGTCGAGTGCAGATAGCTATGGCCAGTGAGTCTCACTGTGAAGGAATGGGGCTCACTCTGGTGGATGCACCACAGTCTCTTGCTGGTGAGTCCACACCCCCAGGTGTCCACACCCCTGGGGGGGGGGGTCCGGGATACCAGTAATCATAAGAACAACATACTGACCCCATGCCAGACCTGAACGCTCCCTCATCTTCATGTCCCTTCCCAGGTGAGTGACTACGATGCCCCAGCCACAGATGAGGCCCTTCTGAACCTGAGTCAGGTACATGAATGTGACTGGACTCAGGTCTGCCTGCAAAGCCTGTCTCTCTGCTTACATACAGCACACTGTGTCTCCATCAGCAGGGTGCCTTCATCCCCCAAGGGAAAGGAGTTCTGGACCTGATTTTTCCAGAATCTCTCTTTGAGCATCTACATGTGCCTGACTCTGGGTGCTGGGCATTTCTTGGTTGACTTGGTTTGGTCCCCAACCAGCAGAACCTGAGGCAAGGATTTAGTGCAAAGAGTTTATTTTGGAGGTGCTGGGGTAGAGAAGAAACTTGGGGGCAAAGGGAAACAGGGAAGAAAAGAGCCTAGAATAGGAAGGGTTGTGGAGATAATGACACCCACAGGCAACACTTGGTCCCTCTAGGGACCTTGGAAGCCACCCAGCAGGACATACCTGCAGTGCTCCCCACCCAAGATCAAGGCAGTTGGTGTTGGCCCTCCTGGCTCTCCAGGGCCTTGGCATTGGCCCAGGGCACCTCTAAGTGTTAGCTAGCCCTCAGCAACCTCACAGGTGGGCCAAGTGGATCCCACAACCAGAGAGAGTCTCCAGGCAGAGACATGGGTGCTGCTGGTGGAGGCCAGGTGGGGCCATCATATGATAAAGGCAACTTGAGTCTGGGCTAGAGGGGCAAAGAGATGGGGTTGTGATTAATATAGAATTAACATGTCATTAACTTATAATTAACAAGGGATAAAGGATCTGGACAGGGACCAGGGTGACCCACCAACCCACTTTCCCCCAGGACTGTCTGGGTTTAAAACTGGAAGGCCCACACTCCAAGAAATTCCAGGCTGTTTGCCCCCCATGTAGGGACTAGGGTGCCCTGCAGGGCAAGTGTTCCCCCTTAGGTGACAGCTGACCTCGCCTCATTGGGAGTGTGACTCAATTTTACCAGATCATCTAGTATTTCAAGAGTTTTCAGAAATCTGGATTTTATATGAAATCCCCCAATTTTCAGTGTTGGAATTAATCCACATTTTAAAAGCTCTAGTTTCTCCCAGTATGAATGTCTGGAGGGCGCTTCTGCGTCTGCTTTGGTGAACAAAAGCCATTGAAGGTGCAGGATGGAGCTGTTCTTTGCTCTTTCGCCCTCTTAGCTACATGAAGGGGTGCCAGGGCCACTTGTGGAAGCCCATGAGTGAGGCTGGGCTTCTCTGGGTCTATAGAGCTTCCATGCAAGGGAGCTGAGCACCTCTGAGTCCAGCCCCTCATTTCACAAAATAGGCCCAGGAACAGAAGACTCTTGTCCAAGGTCAGACAGCAAACCATGAACACTGCAGTTCACCCCCCAACTGTTCTGTCAACACCCCAACCCATACACTGGGGGCCTCGTCTTTTCAGACACCCCTCCCCTAATCTCCATTGCAGGGTCTCAGATTCTTCTTGATCCCTAGCACTGCAGAGGGACAAATAACCATAAGATTTGCTGGCCACTGGGAAGCCCAAGGACACAGCAGCTTGTGAGGTTTTGTTAGGGAGATGGGCCCAACAAAAGGAAGTTTATTCAAAACAAGGAGGCTAATAAAACACTGTCTTTAGAAGCAGGGCTAAATGTGCCCTTTCCTAGTCTAGAATCCAGTTATGGAGAGAAGCCAGACCTCCTGGGCAGCTGCCTTAACATTACTTCGTATTTTTTAAAAAGATACACAGGTTCTTGCTTGGCCCCAGGAGGAATCCACCAGGAGTGGAATTGCTGCGTCACAGGAAGACCGGCCTTCAGAGAAAAATGGGTTTGATCTGAAGTCGCCCTACTGTAAAGTGACAGAAAGCAACGGATATTTGTTTAAACAGACTCAGCCAAGTAAAACATCCTTTGGGCAGATTCAGCCGGCTGGCGGCCAGCTCAGCTTGGGCTTGACCTTCTCTATGAGTCCTAATAGCCTACGATTGATTACATTTGTATTTTGTCTTGCTCTTAAGCCTTTATAACTTTTTTCTTTATAAAAGAACTATAATCCCATTACCGAAAATTCAGAAAGTAGAGAAAAGAAAAAAAAAAAAATTGGCCTCTTCAAGCAAACACATAGTATCTTTGCATCTTTTGTTCTAGCTCTTTCTCCCTTGTGCATATGTGGTTTTTTGTTTGTTGTTTGTTTTTTGGGTTTTTTTGTTTACAAATTTGCAATATCACTCTGCATAAATTATATATTATGCATTTTGGACTTCATCATAAGCTTTTGCTGTGTTATTACACAGTCTTCATATCTAACTAGGGTTTTAGATTCACTTAATTTTCTGGGTAGAGAGAAAACAAGTCTACTATTTTTAGATTTATCATTCCATCTATAAATAAAAAGGCTGCTGGTAAGAGGGCGTTTTCTCCCGTCATAATAAGGCTTCATTCGAGCCCCACAGAAAAGTGGTTTGAAGAACATAAAGCAGCATCCACCCCACTTGGGTTTAGAATCCCTGCTTCACTGATCTCCACTGTGTAGCTGATAGAGGTCTCAGTTTGCTTAGTCTGGAAAATAAGGATAACAAAGAGAGGCTGCCTTGTAGGTGGGTGTGAGGATAAAGGAGGTGACACCTGTAAGGGGCTGGGAACAGGTCTTAGCATTTTGTAAACACACAGCAAGGGCTGGTGGTGCAGCCTGTGTACTGCCATGGGTATTTTTTATGTTTCTCTTTTCTGTGTAAGAGTAATACAAGTTCGTTTTAGAGACTCTGGAGCCCCCAAGACCCATGTGGACACGGACGGGTCCGTTTTGCCTGTCTCACGTTAGTATGTACGTAGTGTGCATGTGAACATACCCATGACTCAAGATTGCAGCTCACGAACCGCTGGAACCTGTCTCTTTTTTTTTTTTTTTTTAAAGATTTATTTATTTATTTATACAAGCACTGGGCACAGTCAGAAGCGCGGGAGGGTGAGAGAATTCACCAGAGCCAGAGCAGGGAGCAGAACAGGCAGAAGGCCCAAAGTACGCCGCTGAGGGGAGCAGCGGGCAGCAGGAGAGGTCTGCGCGCCATGTGGGACCCTCCTCCGGAGGCCAGGGAGCAGCCGGGGATCGAGCCGGCGCTGCAGAGGCTGCGGGCAGCTTCGCAACCCAGTGCTCAACCGCTGCGCCACCAGGGAGGCCCCTGGAACCTGTCTCTTGATGATCCCCAAATGTCTCCATGTTACTATTGGGAGACTGCCTTCCGTGGGGGTCTCGGGTTTCTCTGTGTCTTGCAGGCAGGACCACTGGCCATCTTTTAAAGTGTGTTTACAAAGCAAACATCCTCGGTTGTTCGACATGGAAGGGAAGCTTATTTTCTGTCGGATGCGACACCTCCTTCCAGGATGCAGGTCAGGCAGGCTTCCTGCCAGCAGAAGGGCCTTGGGGTCCCGAGATTAGGGTTCGTCAGCGGGGAGGAGCATGCTGTGTGTGCTGCATCCTCCCAGGGCCTTTCCTATTGCTCCTGTGGGACTTGGGGTGAGGGGAACCCAAGTAAACTTACTGCTCCTGCTGCCTGAGTCTCTGGGCAACATCTTCATCCTTATGTTCCTAGCAGCTGGCTCATAGTAGGGCTGGCGCAGAACCAAAATGGGTACTGTAAATAAGTCAAGAAGGTGCCCAGGCACAGTTTCCCTGTGCAGTGTGACAGAGCGTCTGGGTCAGCATCTTAAGCCCCTCCATGGCCCCTGAACTGGGCATGTTGGATGTCATGTTGGACATTGACTGTCTAGTGAGGTGTGATGTGTGCAGAGGTGGGCACACATCTGTGTCTGGCTCACACAAGGAGCACAGCCTTGGGATCTGCTCTGAGTCCAGAAGCCACGGCCTGGGGATCAAGATGTAGGGTGAATCCCAGAGGCCCCTCCCACTCCCCCAGGCTCAAGACTCACTGGGAAGGGGCTCTCTTCATCCCTTAACTCCTATAGGCTCAGTGGCCCTCCAGGGCTGGGCCTGGGGCAGTGGCCACCTCCTGGAACTTGATCACGAGAGTGGTGCCCTTGTGCCAGTGTGCTGTGACCTTGGCAGGGAAGCTGCCCGGTGTGAATACCCTCTCCATGACGTGTGCCACAAAGCTGGTGCAGTTGAACGTGCAGTTCTCCTTGGCCAAGGAGATGTAGGTGTTGATGAATGGGTTGCACACCATTATGTAGAAGGTACACATGTAGCTGTTGGTTGATCTCCTTGCCAAGGGCGCCGTGCAGACCTTGCACTCTGTCTTGCACTGGGCACCCCTTTCTCCAGCCTTCAGTGCATCTAGAATGCAGGCACCCACCTGGTGGCGCAGCACCAGGAAGAAGACCCGGCTCTGGCAGCACAGCACCTGCTTGGAGCAGATCAGTGCAAGGCACTGGGGCTCACAGTGAGCAGCCAAACCCCCACCTGCGCCCAGGAACCGGGAACCCTCCTCAGCTGAGCCGCTTTATGGCCAGGGTTGTTGTAAAAGCGCGTGTAGCCCACTCTCATGGATGCGCTCTCCTGTTGATAGGATCTAGCTCTTTCTATCGTGGGGCTTGGAGGTATGGGCGCCTCAGAACATTCTGGCCCATGTGCCATGCATGTACGAGTGCCTGAGGGGGGCACGGCAAGGAGTGAAAGTGCCAGGACTCCAGCGGGGCCACCTGTGGTAGATACTCGCATTGGTTATCATGTCTGTTCTGTGAGTGACTTCTCTAGTGGGAGAATCGGTGGGGGAATCAGCTTTGTGGCACACGTCATGGAGAGGGTACTCACACCGGGCAGCTTCCCTGCCAAGGTCACAGCACACTGGCACAAAGGCACCACTCTCGTGATCAAGTTCCAGGAGGTGGCCACTGCCCCAGGCCCAGCCCTGGAGGGCCACTGAGTCCATAGGAGTTAAGGGATGAAGAGAGCCCCTTCCCAGTGAGTCTTGAGCCTGGGTGGGTGGAGGGGGGCCTCTGGGATTCACCCTACATCTTGATCCCCAGGCTGTGGCTTCTGGACTCAGCAGATCCCAAGGCTGTGCTCCTTGTGTGAGCCAGACACAGATGTGTGCCCACCTCTGCACACATCAAACCTCACTAGACAGTCAATGTCCAACATGACATCCAACATGCCCAGCTCGGGGGCCATGGAGGGGCTTAAGATGCTGACCCAGACTCTGTCACACTGCACCACAGATCACCGTGGGTGTAGCCCCACATCCCCTGGGCCCAGCCTGCCCTTGGGTTTAATACTCTGTAGTCTGGAAATCCATAATGGGTTTGGGTTTGCATTGGTGTTCTGTCAGTGCGGTGTGATGGGTCCACAGAGCATGCCAGGGGCTCCAGGTCCTCATTGCCCTCCCCCATCCCCACCTGAAGAGGGGATTTCAGTCCCCTCCTCTGTTCTTCCTAATTCCACCCACTCCTGGGGAGAGCATCCTGTCCCCGAGGGAGTAGGGTATTAAATAAATTAAAAACACCGTGGCAGGGAGGGAGAGAAAGAGAGATTGCAGGAAAAGAGGAAAAGGGGTTTCCTGTCTTTGCAAGCAGCTGCACATTTTCCTCTGGCATCCAGCCCACGGGTGATACGCTGGAGTTTGGCCCACACTCCCTGTGGCCCAGGCCCTCTGCCCAGTGCTCACACACTGCTCACATTTAACTTCTCACCAGCTCTATGAAATCAGCATCATCGCCACCTTCCCTCCCACCCTGCCCCCGCTCGGAGTCTCTGGCATGCCTGCAGGTCAGGAATACGCTGACAGGGTGAGCTGGTCTTGGGAAAGCAAAACTTGGGGAAAAGGGCAGTTGGGAGCCTCAGCAGAAGGCCTGATTGGCATTTAGGGTGGGGGTTGGCAGTCCCCTGGGCTGGTGAGGGGTAGCTCGGGAGGGGTCAGGGGGCAGCTCAAGGATGGGCAGGGGCTGTTTCCGAGTGTGGAGGAAAGCTTTATGAAATGTTCATGAGGTCCGGATTCATAAGAAGTTGGTGGGGACACCCCGCCAGACACTGGGTCTTTGTTCCTGTAGCCTCGGGGGTGAGGGGAGGGAGAGCTTTCCGGGAAGGAAGCAAAGAAGATTTATTTCCCGAGTCTAATCAGCTTCCCCTGAGGAGGCCGCTATCTGGCCCCACAGAAGTCTGAGTGCCCCCAGAGAATTCCTTGCAATGAATTACTAAGGGTCAGTCTTTGCAGAGTCAAAGGTATAGAGCTTGCTTATGGAGTCGTAGAAAATGCACATTCTATTATGTGTGAGACATTTCTTTCCAGACCAGCCATTTGCACAGACACACGCTCGTTCACCTCCCATCCTCTGTGTGAAGATGTGTGATTCTTTACTCTGGTTTGGTCTGCTTTTAAACAGGAGGAGAAAGAACAGGATAGGAGGACATAAGATTTTCCCCAAGTGGGCAGCTCAGCTGGAAATGGACTGAGGTTGAAGTCCACCGGTGACTCCCATACTGCATGCTCAGGACCTCCCTCCTGGAAGGGAAAACCCTGAGAGAACCAGCAGGAGATAAGGCAGAAACCCCAGCTGCAGGGGTGCTGCTGAGAGTTTCCCAGGGAGTTTCAGGCCGACTTGGGCTTGCCAGCTGCTGACTCTGCTTTCTGCTTCCATGTGGAAGCCTGCTGGTCTGTTGGGATCCTGACCCATTGACCAGGAAGGATTGCACCAGAGCTGGCGCCTGACCCAAGCTGGGCCAGTCAGCATGTCAGTCCCGTGACATCGCCATCGGGACTGATTCTGCAACAGAGGAGATGAGGTCTTGGGTGGGGCTGCATTCATATCGACTTGCTTAGAGAGGAGGAAGGGTGAGACAAAAATACAGACAGGCAGACAGACCGATAAACAGAGGCTGAACTACTGGCTCCGGCTGGTTTTACAGACTGTGTGTACCTTCAGTCCTGCCAGGCCCAACCACATTCTTGCTTTGGGCTCCCTGAGACATCCCTTGACCTTCTAATCTCCTTTTAGTGATCTGCGACTCCAGAATGGCTATTCAGCATTCTGGGAGGGGTTGTCCAGTGCAAGGGGAAATTTGGGCCCCTTAGTCAGACAGTTTTCAGAATTCAAGGGGATGACAGCATGGGGAGAAACCAAGCTCAGACCCCTTCCAAGCCTGGCCTCTGAGACCTGTGCATTGGCTTTAGCGCCGGCTGCCCTTGGTTTGTGGTGGTTAGTCCAACAGCCCGAAGGGGTTGGAAAGGTGGTCTTTGCA